CCATAAGCATGACTAAAAATCCTATTCAACATTCTCGTACTAAGCATATTGAAGTACTTTATCGCTTCATTCGTGATCTTGTACAATATGACAAAATTCATCTAGAGTTAATTAGTACGGAGATGCAGTGGGCAAACATTTTTACCAAGCATTAGGTGCTGACAAGTTTCTACTGATTCGCAATGAACTTGGCATGTTTTCTGATAATCGACTGTAACATATGGAATTCTTGCACCTAATGTGACTATCCTATGATATGTTTAAGTCGATTGATGCTATTTTAGAGAGAATTAATCCGGAATTGTTGAAAAGCCATTACCATCTTGTGTTGGAGTTTTGGTGTGCTTTAGGTGAAGAAATTTACAAAGAAGGCTTGAACTGGGCTTACAGCGAGAAGTGTGGACCGAAACCTAGTGGAGAGGAGACTTGGAGTTGGACGGGACCAACAGGACTTGGAAGGAATTTGCAAGGGGAGCAAATATTGGAGCTTAACGTGGAAATTTCGTCCCAGGAAACAAAGGGCCAATTTTTCCAATTAAATGGACCAAGTTGTTTGGCCTCTAGTGGGGGAATTGGACACGGAGACTTGTGCTTGGGGAAGTGAATGGGAGATTTACTTGGAAAGGGAATAATTGAGAGCAGCTGGGGAATAAAAAGGATCGCGCGGACTAGGACGAAAGGAATTGGAGGGGTGGACTTTGATTGGAGAACAGCAGGAGCAGCGCGGGCGACTAGCGAGAGACACCAGCGAGCTATCGCGCGAAACAGCAGATCGCAAGGCATAATCCAAAATCAGTATTTTCTTTCGCTCGTGATTAGTTGGATGATGATTATAAACATGATTCCGTGTTTTTTTTTCTTCATGAACTAAACCCCAATTTCTGGAGGAAACACCATAGGATATAGCTATTTCTATATTTGATGGATTGATTCATACTTATTTTCTTCCAATCTCTATTGCATGGAATTGCTTAATGCTTTGTGTTGACTGGCCACCAATACAATAAATCGTAGTTAATTAGGTTAGTATCGACAATGAAACCCTAATAACTGAACATATTTCATGTGACATAGTAACTTATCGAAGCGACAGTGGATTAAATAAGGTGCTATGCGGTCTTGATTGGGATATCGGTCTTCAGGCTGAACAATAACTCATTGAGCTACGACAGTAGGATTTGAGTTAATTGTTTAGTATGTGGTAATTCCCGATAGGGATAGCTAGCACATTCGTGATATCCTGGCTGTAGAGAGTTGGATTAAACTGATTGGAACATGTGAATTAATCTAGATATGATAGGTAGTGAGTCCCAGTGTTTATCCCAGAGCTTTCTCCCATTGATTTTCTCCCGAAAACTTTAATTTGCTTGTTTTGTTTAATTGTTAGCTAGTAGTTTCTTCACTAAAATATTTTTCACCTATAGTTTCTGTAACACCCTACCCTGTATGTTTTGCCTAATCATATTGTTCATACATTTGCAGCGGAAATAATCTCGGGTGTTACATTAATTATTACAATTAACCCAAATAAATTTTCGACATGAATTACTCGCGTAATGGGCTAACAGTTCTTGCAACTAGACCTGCAAAATAATTCATTTGAATCCCTACATTCATAGACATACATATATACTCACAACCATGTACACTGACTTTCATAGCTATAGTCACACTTTCGTACTCTGCAACTGCATACTATACTGATACAAGTCATAATCGTCACAACTTACACCACCACACACATATACACATATAATCAACTTTCCACACCTGTGGATAGCTCACACTACATCAAAAGCTAGTATGCACATGAAAATTTTCTCAAAATAATTTTACAAAAAGGTGTGGATCACTGGCCAAAATCCCGAGTAGTAGTCCAAGCACAGAATAGTTGAAGACCACACCTCATCTTGGCTTTAACTCTAGCTCAGCGCCCACCTATTCACATGTCTACTGCTGATGATGATGATCTGCTTACACATAGCATAAGCAGAGAAAAAAGATAAAGAGGGTCACCTCATATCTAAGTGAGACAATCATTGCATCGTGAGTTCATAACAGAGCATACCCCTACTATACATCTAGCAAACAAGCCAAAGCACTAGGATCGAACCTCAGCCATCCTCATATCCCAATGGGCAAAAGACTCAACCACCTTGACTTATGCATATGCGTCTTATCATGTTTTACTTATAGGCACCTGGCTACTCCCATGCTAATAACTCTCCCAGGAAACATACCCCACATCCCGTCGGATGTAGTCATACATACCCCAACATCCCATCAGATGTGGTCATACATACCCCACACCATTATGGGTGTAGTCATACCCCGACACCGCTCTGGGTGTGGTCATATCTCGTAAGAAATCTTCAGTCACAACCACATGAGAGTTGTGACTATCATACATATCTTAATAGAGTAATAGCATAGGGAGCCCTAATTACTATGTAGTTGACCATGAGACCAAAGTACTCTTACTTGATATCCTTATACATGATCCATATCTCATATTGCTTAATCGTAATTCATTACTTGGACATGTTCTTGACCTGGCCACAATTGGCTCAACATAACCAGGAGTCGTATAATTGCACTTCCTAATGATAAACCCTCGTGCAAGTAATCCTCCTTAAACAGCATAATATCACTAGGGAATATATATTTCCCCCAATTGTGAATCCTAATACAACCACAATATCTCATCATGTCAAAACACCTGATCGAACAACCATGAAGTCATATCAATAGTTAAGCCACAAGTGGCAACATGTATGCAATCATCAGCATAAACAAGGTCCATATCGATTAGGGCAAGTCAATAATATCATACAGCAGTCAAGGGTTCAACATATAGCACAAAAGTTCATACACCCCTAATCATGCCATTCTAGTTCACCTAGGTCAATTCTAAGCATCAATATAATTATCTTGATACGACAAACCCGGTATGTCGTGCTAATCCCTCACCAGTTCTGGTCGTTCAAACACCGGTTTAACCTTCCCGTACTGAAACATCAATTTCACGAACAAACCCCGAATTAAAATCTGAGACCATCCTAATCTCCCCTGCAGTATCTCCGTCAATATTAGTTCTAGGCTCCGGGTCAAATTCTCGATAAAAACACATCAAACCCTGGCCGGAGCTAAATTCAGCGATCCCGTCTCCGATCTAAATAATGGCCGAAATTCAGGGATTAGAACTAGGGGATTGATTAACTCACTGCAGGAAGCTCGTATATGAAATTTGGGCTCAATCCGGCTTCCGGATACTCCTAAACCCTAATTTGGCTTATTGGGAATTCAAGAAATTCCTGAATCAAAAACTCGTTTTAAAGCTCTAAATCGATAAATCACGATGTATAGATGAATTAGGCATTACTTACTGGATTTTGGGATCAGTGTAGCTCAAGAATTGAGCTTTGGAATTTTCCCCCGCGTTGCCCTGTGCGCCTCTGCTTCTCGGTCCAGAAAAATGTAACTAAAGAAGATTGATGGAGATAATGGACCGGGGGGAAAAGTTTATATATATATGCCGCCCGGAATTATTTATATATATATATATGTATAATATATTTAATATATAATTAATACTTATACTTATCTGATCGATCGATAATTCGATTTTCGACGAAATACTATCAAAACGCTCGATTTTAAATCGTGAACTTTCTAGCGATCGAAATATGGGTTTTTCCGGAACGGGATGTTACAATTCTCCCCTCCTTAAAAGATTTCGTCCCCGAAATCTAACATTGAGTTGTATTCTAAATCCGGTTACTTACTACGAACCTGGGCTATCGTACATAGTCATTACCTAAGTGATTCATAACATAGAAGGTAACATATAACACCTCAAGTTCCCATGTTTAGGTTTGAAAAACCTATACTGGGCTCTGATACCAAACTGTAACACCCTACCCTGTACGTTTTGCCTAATCATATTGTTCATACATTTGCAGCGGAAATAATCTCGGGTGTTACATTAATTATCACAATTTACCCAAATAAATTTTCGACATGAATTACTCGCGTAATGGGCTAACAGTTCTTGCAACTAGACCTGCAAAATAATTCATTCGAATCCCTACATTCATAGACATACATATATACTCACAACCATGTACATTGACTTTCATAGCTATAGTCACACTTTCATACTCTGCAACTGCATACTATACTGATACAAGTCATAATCGTCACAACTTAAACCACCACACACATATACACATATAATCAACTTTCCACAACTATGGATATCTCACACTACATCAATAGCTAGTATGCACATGAAAATTTTCTCAAAATATCTTTACAAAAAGGTGTGGATCACTAGCCAAAATCCCGAGTAGTAATCCAAGCACAGAATAGTTGAAGACCATACCTCATTTTGGCTTCAATTCTAGCTCAGCTCCCACCTATTCACATGTCTACTGCTGATGATGATGATCTGCTTACACATAGCATAAGCAGAGAAAAAGGATAAAGAGGGTCAGCTCATAGCTGAGTGAGACAATCATTGCATCGTGAGTTCATAACAGAGCATACCCCTACTATACATCTAGCAAACAAGCCAAAGCACTAGGATCGGACCTCAGCCATCCTCATATCCCAATGGGCAAAAGACTCAACCACCTTGACTGATGCATATGCATCTTATCATGTTTTATATAGGCGCCTGGCTACTCCCATGCTAATAACTCTCCCGGGAAACATACCCCACATCCCGTCGGATGTAGTCATACATACCCCAACATCCCATCGGATGTGGTCATACATACCCCACACCACTATGGGTGTAGTCATACCCCGACACCGCTCTGGGTGTGGTCATATCTCGTAAGAAATCTTCAGTCACCACCACATGAGAGGTGTGACTATCATACATATCATAATAGAGTAATAGCATAGGGAGCCCTAATTACTATGTAGTTGACCATGAGACCAAAGTACTCTTACTTGATATCCTTATACATGATCCATATCTCATCTTGCTTAATCCTAATTCATTGCTTGGACATGTTCTTGACCTGGCCACAATTGGCTCAACATAACCAGGAGTCGTATAATTGCACTTCCTCGGGATAAACCCTCGTGCAAGTCATCCTCCTTAAACAACATAATATCACCAGGGAATATATATTTCCCCCACTTGTGAATCCAAATACAACCACAATATCTCATCATGTCAAAACACCTGATCGAACAACCATGAAGTCATATCAACAGTTAAGCCACAAATGGCAACATGTATGCAATCATTAGCATAAACAAGGTCCATATCAACTAGGGCAAGTCAATAATATCATACAGCAGACAAGGGTTCAACATATAGCACAAAAGTTCATACACCCCTAATCATGCCATTCTAGTTCACCTAGGTCAATTCTAAGCATCAATATAATTATCGTGATATGACAAACCCGGTATGCCGTGCTAATCCCTCACCAGTTCTGGTCGTTCAAACACCGGTTTAACCTTCCCGTACTAAAACGTCAATTTCACGAACGAACCCCGAATTCAAATCCGAGACCGTCCTAATATCTCCTGCAGTATCCCCGTCAATATTAGTTCTAGGCTCCGGGTCAAATTCTCGATAAAAACACATCAAACCCTGGCCGGAGCTAAATTCAGCGATCTCGGCTCTGATCTAAATAATGGCCCAAATTCAGGGATTAGAACTAGGGAATTGATTACCTCGCTGCAGGAAGCTCGTATATGAAATTTGGGCTCAATCCGGCTTCGGGATACTCCGAAACCCTAATTTTGCTTATTGGGAATTCAAGAAATTCCTGAATCAAAAACTCGTTGTAAAGCTCTAAATCAATAAATCACGATGTATAGATGAATTAGGCATTACTTACGGGATTTTTGGATCAGTGTAGCTCAAGAATTGAGCTTTGGAATTTTCCCCTGCGATGCCCTGTGCCCCTCTGCTTCTCGGTCCAGAAAAATGTAACTAAGGAAGATTGATCGAGATAATGGACCGGGGGGAAAAGTTTATATATATATGCAGCCCGGAATTATTTATATATATATATATAATATATTTAATATATAATTAATACGTATACTTATCCGATCGATCGATAATCCGATTTTCGACGAAATACTATCAAAACGCTCGTTTTTAAATCGTGAACTTTCTAGCGATCGAAATATGGGTTTTGCCGGAATGGGATGTTACAGTTTCCTCTATAAAATTGATAGAATATAAGGTTGTACCAGTCCCTGAGAGACAATACCTGGACTTTCCGGTTTACTACAAGATAGGAATTAAAGCTATACGTTTTTGCCCTACCATTTTCTCAGCACAAAATTAATTCACTTTGATTTCGTCAAATATTTTCTTGCTCGGTTTCCAGCGATACTTACGAAACTCCTCATATTCCTCTTCTGTTCACTCAAGGAGTTTCCTTCTTTATGCACTTGGAGTGTATAAAATGATGGTAACCCTTCGTATGCTCTTCACAGCCCGCTCTCCCCTCATTTCAAAAATTCGATGGTGAACCCTAATGCTCAGTCGCAGTCCCATGTCTTGTTCAAGAACCTGAGGCTTTCGTAATGCTGCGATTTACTCTAGGTATCTTCGCAGCTTTCACCATCGCCCCTTGTACCCCTCATTCTCAATCCATCCTTCCACTTTCTCCAAATACGACATGAACATTCTTGCCTACCTTCACCGGTTGGGTTGGGACTCCTTGGTTGAAAAATTGCGATTCAGCCAATGTCCTGAGTTTGTTTGCTTGTTCTATGTCAATCTTCGTTGCGGTCCTAGAAGTGACCCTTCCTTTTTCACTACCTTGGTCTATGATTATGAGATCAAGGTTACGCCTGCACTGCTGGCGTCGGTTCACGATCTTCTTCATGCTAGACTTCAGGCTGGTACGGATAGGGAGTTTGTCAACCTCGGCTTTCGGTTTCCGTCAAAACTTGTCGCTGGCAGGTTGCATGACGATCTCAAGGTCCTGTTTTTCTTCCTCACACGTTGGTTTCTACCTCGTGATTCAGCCAGTACTGACCTCGTCCATTCTGCTGATCTCTGGGTTCTGTCTAATGCGCGTATTGGTCGTCGCGTTAGCTATGCTTCCCTTATGTTCCACCACATGATCAAATTCGACATTGAATATTATGGTGGTCCATTGCCTTTCGGTCCACATATCATTAGACTTTTGTATCGCTTGGGCATTGACCTGCGTGACAAAGTCATTGTCTGTGATGTTTTGGATGATCTGCGTCCTCAACATGTGCTGGCCCGTCTCGATGCGCTGGTTGGACTCCGTAAGCCTGTCACTAGCTTAGGGGGAGTGAGAAACCAACAACTACAACTAGATTCTTCCTTGGCACTTGTTAATGCAGCTGCTGCTGCGTTTAAACAAGAGGCTCGTTCCCGATGTGGTCCGAAAAGGAAGTTGTTGCTTGAAAAGGACTTAATGCTGCCAAAGTTTGTGTATTAGTCAAGTCAAATCAGTGATCCGATTAGTCCATACTTTGACTTTGGTGACGAGGACAAGGTTTCAAGTTATGCTTCTCCTCCAAATTATCATTCCTGAAGAAAAGCAAAATTTTGAGAGTAGTTTTTGAGTTTTAGGTTGTAAGGGTTGGAATAAAGATGTGTTTGCATTCATGAGTTGCTAGTAATTTCCTTTTACTTGAGTCAGTGTCGTTGTGTTTGGTTATGGTCTGTGATGTTTGAATAAAAGAAGCAAACCACCTGTGCTGCTGGTTATATGAATGAAATTTTCCTTGTGCAACAACAGTATTTGGACAGACTGCACCAATGGTTTGTTAAGTGTGTACTGGTTGCTAAGTTGAGCCATTGACAAGCTTAGGGGGAGATTGTTGAGAGGAAGCTTGCCAAAAGTTTCTAACAAAGGAAATTTGAAGGAAATGGTCCAAAAAGGAAATTACACTCTCGGCAAAGCAATTGAGGAAAGTCCTTCCTTCAATCAAGATCAAATCGAATCACAGAAATTGAGATCAAGAAGAAACCAACGATTAGTAAAATGTATGTATAAAATAGGAGGAGTCTGAGTAGAAGCAGCCACTTTTTTCACGCATTAGCTTTCAAAAACAAAGTCAGAGAGATTGTCTGTGTTTTGAGAGAAAAAAGGAGAGAGCTATCAGGGAGAGAGCTCGTAGAGTGAGTCGATAGTCAGATTGGAATATTGGCAGGGAGCCATTACTTCGAGGGTGACTCTGATCAAGTGACAGGGGGTCACTACGAGATCAATCGTGTACCTTGTAATCCGAAGCACAAAATTATAGTGTAACGTCAAAGGACTCAAACTGAGTACCTTTGACCATGGACTAGTCGATACTGAATTCTTAGTATCGGAAACCACGTAAAAAATCCACTGTGTCTCTCTATTGGTTTGGGTTGTATAGCGTTTCTGTAACAAGACATTGTTTTGCAGAAAAACTCTGTTTTGTGCATGTTACAGTGTAGAAAGGAAGTTCGACACAAGCTAATGGAAAAGGAAGAAGAAATATAAAACGCAGTCGTAGCGAATAAAGGGCTAAAAGGAAACCGGATCTGTCGTTCAACAGGCCTCATCAAAAGAAAAGGATTCGGGCTTTAAGCCCAATTTGTTCATCGCCACACTGCTTTGTTTATTCATTCTCGAAAGTACTTAATCAACATTCTCACTTCGTACACAATTTGCTTCTTCCGCTTTCATATTAGGGTTAGTCTTTTGCAGAGAAATCGAGAGAAGCTAGTGCAGCCTCGCGCTCGTCTGCACCAACACCAATTACTAGGGCTGGGCATGCGGGCGGATCATCCGCGGGTTTGGGCCGACCCACCCGCATTTGACCCGAATTTTATTAAGTGGGTGGGTCTGTGGTTGGGTGACGGGTTGCGCTGAGAGCCATCCGCCGGGTGGTGGGTGGGTTGTGGGTGGATGCGCGGGTGACCCATTTAACCCAACAGCAAAAAGATCAAAGTCGTTGGCGCTAGAGAGGGGAGAGTGGAGACGTTAGACATAAACTAGGACTGCTCCTGGAGTTTGAACCTCAAAGCCAACCCTTCCAAATAGCGATCCCCTCTTCTTCCCTTTATTTTTTCCTCTAATTATTGTGCCTAGATCACCGCTCTTTCCTTTGTGGAATTATTTTCCTTAGTTCCTTGCACCTGATAATCATCTCAATTTGTAGAAAACTCTTTCATGATAGAATATCTATCCAACTTAAGAACTAATTCGACATTTTCCCCCCTATTTCATCTTCTTGTTTCCCCCAGATAACTCTCTGCACTTATTATCATGTCAAGTTGACTCCTTTATATTATATACATTGTGATGTGGTTGAACCCACAAACCCAACCGCATCATCCACCATCCGCCCGACCCAACCCGATACTAAATGTGGGTGGGTGGTGGGTTAAAAATTATCAATCCGTTTAAGCGCGGGTGGGTGTATTTTATGGTCAATTCCACCCGACCCACCCAATGCCCACCCCTACCAATTACTACTGAAATAATACTAAAATATCAAATAAACAATTAATGGTGTATTTTAGTTGCAAATGTTGATATCACCATTACTATTAGCTAGTGTAATTTACCAATTACGATTAATTACATAACAAGTTTGCAAGTCATACAAATTGATTCAACATTTTTACTAGTTTTTTTATTTTTAAATTAAGTATATATACGAGGTAGAAAGAAATTGATTAAAATTTGAGAAAAATAATTTAAATTAGTGTAATAAAATGTGTAAATTGGTAACGAGTAAGGAGAAAGTTACTCGATGAGCTGACCCGAACAACCCGTAACCCATCAGTTCACAACCCGTCCGACCCAAAACCCGATGAACCCGCAACCCGATGAACCAGCAACCCGTTTGAAACCGAACCAAATGAATCCAAACTCGATGAACCCACAACCCAGTGAATCCGAAACCCGACTAACTCTCAACCCAATTGAACCCAGCCCGAACCTTACCAATTGACACCTATACTTATGTATATATGTTGCATTTCTAAAAAAGTTGCTAGTATAGCAAGCGAATTTAGAAAGAAGCATTTCATCCCTAGCAATTGCCACCTCACCCCAGCAATTACTACACTTTTTTTTTTATGGGAGCAATTACTACACTTTAACAATGTAGAAATGGAGATGGTCTTACATTACGGATCTAATAATAAAAAAATTTGATCCAGGAATCTGTAACGGTCAGAAAATCACTCCCACATAGCAACGAAAGAACACCAACGTCTCTCCCTATCTCCCTCTCGCTACTCTTTCATTCTCCACAGCAAACTAACGGTTACATTCTTCAGTTCTTGCACAGTTGTCTAAGTTCCAGGGTCCTCCATGGGGCTGCTCCTTTAAGCTCTCTCTGCCTCAACACAAAGAAAAAGCCCCAGCCCCTTTACTTCTTCCTGTTTGGGCTTCTGGGATTTTCCACTTCTTTCTTCCCTCTTTCTTTTTTCTGTCATTGTTTTTGTTTTCGTTTTGGCGATGGAACCCGCGAAGATAGACTGGAAGCAAATCGAGTGGGTTTACGAGGAAGACAAGCTGTACGAGACCATCAACGCCCCCAAATGGGTTGATTTCTTGGCCACTCCTCGTGACGAGGCCGATTGCGTCGATGATGTCGCCTGGTTCTGCAGACCCGGTGCGTGTGCGTTCATCTTCAGGCTTGCAGTTCATGAATTCTCTTCAAAGTTTCCATCTTTTCTGACTGGGGATTTGGTGTTTTTGCTTAATTCTGTTTCTTGCTCTTTCCTTCTCCTCCGGGCATCTAGATTGTAACCATCCCAAGTCAGCTGAAGATTTCTTGAAATTCACTCCTACTTCGTCCAAGGTTTCCATCTGTTTCTGGGTTTCAATTCGCTGCTCTAATTTCCCAGTTTTAGAAGACTGCTCCAATTTACAAACAGTTGTTTCTTTTTTGGGAAGTTCTACTGTAAATTGACTGCTTCTGGGAATTTTCCTGATGCAGCATTCAAGGTCTGGCGTCAAAACCCACAGCCCATTTAGTGACTTGAACCAGAAAAGGTAACAGTCGATGAACTTCCTTGATTTCATTTCACCATCTGGTTGAACTCACTTGATTTGTGTTTTTTTATACGAATCATCTATTTGTTTGCCGGGATGGTATGCAGGAATGGTAAACCGAAGAGGAGAGGGCCAAATCAGTCTTCCATTGCATCCTATGACGAGGTGATGGGTGTGAGCCAAGATAGTGAGAACCAGAACCCTAATCACAATCATAATCATAATTTCTCAACCCCTCCGAATTTCCAAATCAAGTCCATGAAAGCACTGTTCAAATCAAGCTCTGAAAGGAGGAAGCCCGCCACTGACGATGATGCTGCATCAGAAGCCAATTTACAGCAGCAGCAGCAGCTGCCTAAACTGAAACCCACACTATCAGCAAAGAATTTGTTTGCTGGCAAGGATATCCTTGGCCATATTTCTGAATTCTACAATGAGTTGAAGAAGATGGCAATTAGAAGCAGGGACAAAGAGGAGGAGGATGCGACCTTGGAAACTAACGAAAGCCAGGTGGCGCAAGACGAAACTGCGGCTGTGAAGGAGGAGGATCACAGAGAGGTTTTGGGGGTTTTAGATTTGAAGGAGAAGACCACCCCGCCGCCTGGCGGTGGAAAGGACAAGTTGGGAGGGAGGAGTGAAAAGGGAAGCAGCGGCAAGAAGTTGAGGAGGAAAATGTAAGTTGTCTGTTGCTGCATTCCTGGTTTTGGATGTAGATTTAGTAAGGGAATCAATTGAGATACTAGAAAGAACCTCTACCTTGCCCCACGCACATCATCAGCATATATGATATGGATGTTAGAAACTCTCATTAATATGCTTGACCAAGTGCCATGGTGATATTATACGTGCAGAAGAGTTGATGATGATGCAGAGAACATCGTCCCAGCGTCGCTGAACTTGGAAACGGTGAAGAAACCGCTGCAGCAAAAAGGAGAGGAGCAGCATCGGCTGCTCCAAATCCGGACGAATCCCCCTTCTCCGCAATGCTTCTCTGCTGGCCATGCAGCAGTCAAAACCACACCATCAGGAGCTTCAAAGTCCAGATTCATGGTAATGCACCAGCAGACAGTTTTATATGTGCTAAGTTCTGCTAACTCTACTTGGACTGTCCCAAGAAAGCCATAGCTAGGTCTCTGTGTTAGCTAGTTAGTTATCTGGTAAGATTAGATGGCTTTGCTTGTGGTGGTCTGCATTCGATGCCCCCCCTGCACTGAATGAATGTATATATATGGTTTTCTTTTATGGTTGCTGATGTGGCTTGCGCTTTGATGGTGCAGGAGAAGTCGATTCTTCAGGAAGTGAAGCAGCAGCAGGAGACTGTGAAACAGGAAAACCGAGAAAAGGGTGGAAGAAGTTTCGCCATTGTGGATGGTAAAGAATCAAAAACGGCTTTAGATATGTTCTGGTTTCTGAAGCCTTGCACACTCACCAGCTGATGCGACAAAGACAGATAATAATCATGTTTTGCGTCCATCAATCCTTCCCTTCATTGGGCCATTTTTTTACCTTGCACATAGATAATCCCTGTAATTGCCTGCCTCACAACCAATGCCATTTGATTCATTCATTTGTTGCATCTCTGTTAGAGAAAACACGAGCAAATAATACTTGTCGTAGTGGTGTAATTAGTTTTGAAGAGCACATTCATTCAGACTCGAACGCAGTTTCAGCAACAACCCAGGTATTGTTGCTGGCTTTGCTGGTTCTCCATTCACCACAAATAATACTTGTCGTAGTGGTGTAATTAGTTTTGAAGAGCACATTCATTCAGACCCGAAACGCAGTTTCAGCAACAACCCAGGTAATGCATCTTGCTTTGCTGGTTCTCCATTCACCACAAAGCTTTGCCAGTCAAACAACAAACTATACTCGATTGCTGAGCATTGACTACTACTGTCCAAAAAAGAAGAGCATATAGACTTTTCTCAGCACCGCAAGTGTTCCTTTCTTCTTTGGAATTGACTTGTGGCTACCAGAAGGAACATACATACATGTATCATAACAAATCAACGATCCATTCACCTATCTCCAAAAGGGTATACAAGATTTCATACAAAAGCACATCATCACTCACACAACTTAGTATCGCAACCCAGCAAGCAACCCCTCAAAATCAACAACCAACAAAGAAATGCAAAACCGGAACCCAGAACCCAAGAAGGGAAGCGGAGGAGAATGTACAAACGAACTGTTGGGTATCAATCATACGGAAAAGGAATCATCTATCTATCTGGTAGTAGTAACAGTTGAACTCAACCTGAAATTGCAGAGGAATCTGTTCCAGAGCCTTGACCAGACGTTCCTGGCTCGTGGGTAGTAGCGGACCGTGTAGAGCCTAGACTCCCTCACCATCTCCTCCATCATCTCGACAAACAGATTCAAGCTCCTCACAGGCGGTATGTACAGAGTCAAAGGCGCGGCCGAGAAAGCTACCGTGAAGAACAACTGCAGCGCCATCTCTTCTCTCTCTCTTCTCTTCTCTTCTGTTGTACGTCGACAGAGAAATAGCAAAGTAAAAGAAAGAAACACCAAAGCCTTGCCAGGAAATCAATTTCTATTTGATTTTCCTTCCTGCCTGCTTGTACCGAGGAGAAAGAAGGTTGGGGAAACACGACGGGAGCTTTATAGGGTTGGTCGACGAGGAAAACCGGGAAATCAGGTTATTGGTTTTTTTTAAGGCCGGTGGGCTCTCTCATGGCCCATGGGGAACCAAATATGAAACAGACAAGGAAAAGGAGAATTGGAGAATAGTGTTAATTAGGTACAGGCCACAGGGTAGGATCTAACAAGTGTGAGTCGGAATATAGGAATCGTAAGTTCTGGATATATATATATATATATTTTTTTTTTTTGCTGTAAGAAAGTTCTGGAAATATAAGGAACCAAATCGAATTCTCTTCTATTAATTTTATTTATTTATTTCTGCGAGAAGAGAAAGAAACACCAAATTTAAAAATAGTGTTTTACAATCGGATCGGATCGTATCAAGTCTATGGTGCGATCGAAATTTTTTTATTGAAGTTTAAGTGGATAGATGATTTTTCTAGTATAAAAAAGGATTGAAAACATACTGTATCGGCGGTGCACTCAGAGAAAAATATCAAATTTGATTATAAATCAGTAGATGCTATTTAGCGGTAGAAGTTGCAGAATCACATTGAAATTACAATTTCAACGTAAACTACCCTACCTACAATATTATTTTATAATTTTTTATAAAAAAATTTTTTAATTAGAAGTAGCTTGAACTCTGCTCTTTGGGCAGGTGGTAATTATATTATATTTTATTTTATGTCATGTAATTACTAACCTTTTCCAATATCGAGCAGGAAGCCAGGAAGGAGGAAAAGGGGCGGGGAAGGCGTAGGACGCGTATTCTTGGATCCAATGACGGAATGAATGGGGTGAGTTTGAGTTTGACTAGTAGACTGGGAGAGCGGCGGCGAGGCGGTATTCAGTCGGCAAATAGGTAGTGGTTGACAAAGTTTGGTTTGTCAATTCCGGGTGGGTGTGTGGTGTGGCCTCGTCCAGATTGGCTGCCAGCCCATTGTTTTCCTCACAAAGAAAAAACCACGAGTCATGAATCATATGATTCTCGCCTTTACACTCGTCTATTCATTTTAATTATATTTTATTTAACATATGATTGATGATGATTATTACAAATTATTCAGTTACCATAAATGACATGGATTTCTCGTGTCAGCCAGCTACGCGGTGAGAGTTTGCTTTACCAAATCATACGAATATAGGGCTTTTTCATTCGGGTGTTAGTAATCAGATCTAGAGTGGGAGCAAGTGAATGAGAGCATTTATTTTTTTGGAATTGGATATTGAGAGTGTGGACAACACGTTGATATTATGTTATTTTGTTAAGAGAGAGGCTCCAATACGAAATTCGGGGAGGGGGTTAAAAGTAGGGATGCCAATGGGTTGGGTTGAGGCGGGTTTTGTCAAACCCAAACTCAAATTCATGGGTTTATTCGTCAAAAAAAACCCGGGGTAAAACCCGTTGGGTTTGAAAAACTCAAACCCAACCCAATCCGCTGGGTATCCGCGGGTTTATGGGTACCCGTGGGTTTTTGTGGTAAAAAATTTATAATAACAAATTTCTTTCAAAATAAAAGTTTAACATAAATTTTCTCATACAAATTATTCATACAAAAAATACCAATCTAGAACATACAAGCAAACCGCAAATGATTAATACAAATTGTTCAAAATTAAAGATAATCATCTATAAACGACAAGATTAATTGAAATCTTCTTCCTCGTCAAATAAGTTTCTTCACTCTCCACTCAATAATATCAACTTCATTCTAAATAATTAGAAAGAACAAATTATACATGTCTCCACAAACATAAATAATATTAGTTGTTTAAATAAAATATATTATTTAGAATATTAAATATACCGGGAAAGTAATTATATGTGTGGGCAGGTACCCATAGGGTGGGCTTACCTAAACCCAACCTGGTGAATAGTGTAGCGGGTTTAAACCCGAACCCGGCCCAAAATTCGTCAACACGAGTTTTACCCGCGTTAACCGGGTTGGGCCGGGTGGGTACCCGTGGGTTCGGGTTTTATTGTCATCCCTATTTAAAAGGCCTGCAAAATCACTCATTAATGGGTGAGGTTAGTTGGATTGTGATTTGATGACCCCTATCCATGCAATGTATGTTGTGTCATGTGTGTTTCCGCTTCTCTTTATTTAGTTTAGCGCGAATTTTCAGACGGCTTTTAAAGATCTTTTCAAATATCTAGTGAAAATTCAATGGTCCGTAGGGTATTTATTTTACATCGGATTTCAACAAAATTGTAAAGAAAAATCAAAACAATTTGTGCTTTACATGAGGATACCGAAATTGATATTTTGGACCAAAATTCTTTTTAGGTCATCATATCACTATTACCATTTACCAACAAAAATATACAAAGGGACTTGGAAATTACCAATTAGCCCCTCCATGTCTTTGCATCTATCTTGGGCCGTCTTATCTGCCTGGTATTGGAAGGATGCAAATGTGGTTTTGCAGGGTTTTGCATATAGGGGTTTTGTATCCTATCTGTTCCCTTTTATTAATAATATATTTCTTTTTTCAATGATATAAAGTTTAAGTATATGGATGAAAAAAATTCACATAAGCTCACTATTAAGTCAATAATCTAACACTTTTTCTTTCTACGAAACTTAAATCATATTAAGGGAGATTACGAAATAAAAGTAAATAAACTAAACATTGTCACAAGAAGGATATATGAAGTAGCTTCGTTTTTTAAGGGTTATGACTAAGGTGGTATTGGGAGCTAAAGGTTGTGGGTTCAAAATTTGACAAAGGAATTTTTATTCAACTTCGATCTAGGTCTAGAATGAGGGAAGGGGCATATGGGGAAATTCGCTAAGACACAGTGGCAGGGTAATTTTTTGTAATAAAGGAGGGCAAAACGGTCACTTCAATGAGGAGTATACATAGGTGGCGATAGAGCCAACTCAATCTTGTCTCTGTTTGGATTTTTAATGGTGCGAATGAAAATGAAAGGAGAAAGATTTAAGAGAATTTCTTGAAGTATCATGTTGGTAAGATGTGAAAAGACACAGCCTCGAATTCGATCGATTTAATGTAATATGTGGTTAATAGGTTAAATTGGTTTGTGTAACCCAACGGACCAAACCAAACTGCGTTGAACCAAATCGATTCAAACCGATATGGAGGTTGGAATAAACAAACCGGTCAAACTTCCATAAGCCGAACCGGTGCGATGGTTGAGAAAATTTAACTAAAAAATTGCAATGGTTGCGGGTCTAATCACTCATACGAAGCGTTGCCTCCCTTCATACACACCCTTTCATTCTCTATGAATAGCACCTAACCCCTCTGGTTTATATATACATTTTTCACATACCAAAACTCTGCCGAAATCTAAAGTGATTTTTTCTGCATTGTTTTTCAAAAGAAAAATCGAGTCAAGTGTGGTTCTTGCCGATTTCGCTGCGTTCGATGGTTTCCCTTCCCAAAACCCTAATCCAATATCTGTAAAAAGGGTTTCTAGAGTTTAGAACTCGATAGCAAGTGAGATCCAATTAGAGGGTCGTTACTATGGCGACAAAGTAACTCTCCCGACTTCGAGCCACCCTAGTATTGAGCGAGGAATCAGCGGCATAATCGGCGCCCTCAAGCCCGATTTCTCTATTGTGGCTGCTAATTCTAGAGCTTTTCAGGGATCTTTATTTCAATCAACGAATCCCGAGAAACTCGTTCTCATGGTTGGCTAGTTCCCTCAGTTGCATATGTATGCGAACATTAGAGGGTTTCGATATGTAAAACTAGATGTTTGGTATTAATATGACTGCTTTGATCTTTCTATCATATGTGTATGATTTCTTCTCTTTTATCTTTTGTTGGTTTGAATGAAAGCTTAGTCGAGCTTGCATCCCTTCATGATACAAGCATTAAAATCTCAGGCGTTTAGAGAAAGACTAGACATGGCGACTCTACTTGATCGATCATCATTCGATCAAACGGCATCACACCTCAAAGGAGAAATCTATCGGTTCATTGTCGTCCATTAGTCCACAAACCGGCACAAGTTGGGATTAGATGACATAAGAAATTAGCAATTGGTATGTTGCCAGTACCGAAGAAAACATGTCTAGGAACTCTGGGGGAACTTTTCCTATGCAATACCTCTCTCTTTTGCATCCTCACTCGCGTAAGTAGTCTAGATTTACTTTTCTTGCACTTAGTTTTTCTTTTAATTTATGTTTTACAAAACCGGAGGCACCTCAACCTCCCACACATGTTTTCTTTCCATATAGAATTCTTTCTTCGCCACATGAGTAAGTGGTTGTTAGAAATCTTAGTGAATATGATCATGGCCTTCGAGTCAGGTAAATTTGTCATGCACTCCAATCAACGATCAAATTTTGGAGCCCTTGCCGTAGACTCTCACAACCGTCAGAATGGGAATAATGTAAGATTTCTACGATTCAAATTTTACACCCCCTTTTAATTTTAAGTAAAATCCCAGTTTTGATTGCCATGACAAGAAGAAGCATCATAATGCTCTCCAAACCAACCTGTCATTTAACGAGAATTCAGAAGTAGAAAGTAAGAAAACTCCTATGATCCTCCCACTAAAGGAGGTATGGTTGAACAAACTCTCTACGAATATAAGAGGCCTCCAGCTGCAAAAATTGTTTCCAACGTTATCCTGCCTTAGTTGTGCTTAATTTTGAGTTGATTCAATCCTAATCATACATATTTTAACCTTCATTTCTTGATCGTATGACGTGGGGTTTATTTTTTCTTGCCTATATTACGCCAGGTTTTTCTTTTCTTGTCACATCTTAGGTCCTAGGACATAAATATGGTCGTGGAATGAATCCGAGACAAATGGATGCAAAAATGGCAAAGAAAGGTGCAAAGTACGACCAGTGACATGACCGTGTTCTTGAGCATGTTAGTTGAAACGACATGGAACATGGTCATTTTTCAGTCCTACCCACAAATATGGTGAAAAGAACATGGCCAACCAACACCATCGTGTTTTATGTCCGTGTCGAGAGCTGAGAAATGAAACAAAATGACATTTTGTAGATGCTTGAAGAAGTCACAGTCTCTTCACGGTGACTGCGTGCCATCAACACCAAAGTTGTGAATCTTTCCCAAATGGTGTGCTTTGACAAGTGACGAAGCACACGGTCTAGGACATACCAATGTTACTAGGAAGTGTTAGGTCTACTTCTGAATAACTTAATGACAGAAGAGCGAAGATGAACACGACCATGCTCC